GGGGTTGGCCCGGGGTGGGGGGGGGGGCACCGGTGGGGGTGGGGCCCCGGTGCCAGGAAAAAAAAAAAAAAAAGGGGGGGGGCCGGGGGGGGGGGAACCTCACGATGATTTGCCAGTATCAAATAATTCCAAGTCCCTCTATCAACTTCCTTAACTGTCACCAGAATATTTTTCACAGCTCATTTGCTCAAACCAGGATCCAATGAAAGGACTTCTCATAACATTCAATTGCTAGGTTTTTCACTTCTATTTTAATCTAGAAAAGTTTCTCTTATCAGTTTTTTTTTCCTTCATGACATTGGCGAGTTGAAAGAAGGTGTGTGTCCTGTAGAGTGTCCCACTTCTGGATTTGTCTGTCTGCTTCTTTTGGATTGTGTTAAAGACAACAAATATTTTGAGCACCTTGTAATGCCCCAAATTGGGGATCAGTGGAATGGGAGACAGATGCAGATGTAGTTCCTGCCCTCATGGCACCCCCATTTTAAAGGATTAGACTAGGGATTCTCAGCCTCAGCACTACTGATATTTGGAGCTGGATAATTTTTTGTTATGAGGATTGTCCTGTGTGTGTATTGTAGGACGTTTAGCAGCATCTCTAGCCTCAATCCACCAGATGCCAGTAGCATCCTCCCCACCCCAGTTGTGACAACCAAAAATGTCTCCAGACATTTTCAAATGTCCCGAGGAGAAAAATTGCCCCTGGTTGAGAACCACTGGATCAGGTGATAATTACATGAACAAATAGACTAATTCCAGATAGCAGTAAGTGCTCTGATGAAAACAGAGCAATTTGATAGAAAGTGCCTGTGGGGAGGGGTGGTGCTACTTTAGAGAGAACAAGTGCGGGGACATCTCTGAAGATATCTGAAGGAAGTGGGAGAGTGACAGGAACAGTGTCAATGACAGAGGGAATAGCACCTGCAAAGACCCAACATGATTAAGCAACAAGGAGGAGGAGCTAGCGTCGCCAGAGTTGAGTGAATGAAAGAGAACAGCAGGGCAGCTAGAATGGCGGCCAGGTCACATGAGGACCAGATCGTGCAGGGCCTGGTGAACCGTGGTGTGTTAGTCCATTTTGTGTTGCTATAACAGAATTAACTGAGACTGGATAATTTATAAGGAAAAGAGGTTTATTCGCTTGCGATTCTGGGACAGCTGCGTCTGGTGCGGGCCTCAGGCTGCTTCTACTCATGGAGGAAAGTAACAGGCAGCTGGTGGGTACAAGCAGATCACATGGCGATAGGAAGCAAGAGAAAGAGAGAGAGGAGGTGCCAGGGTCCTTTTAAGCAACGAGCTCTCGCGGGAACTAATAGAGCGAGAACTCACTCATTAATCCCCCCTCCCCCAGGGAGGGCATTAATCCATTCATGAGGGATCCGCGCCCATGCCTCAATCAGCTTCCCACACCGCCACATTGGGGATCACATTTCCGCATGAGTTTTAGGGGACAACACATCCAATCCGTATCAGGGTGAGGAACTACGCTTTTAATGAGAGCGAGACTGGCACCGTGGAGCAGCGGGGGGACTCTGAGCGGGACTGAAGCTGATTTAGGGGTTAGGGGCGCCCTCTGACGGCCGCGCGAGGAACTGCTGGGGGAGGAGACGGAGCCCGCTGAGGGCCGCGGTAGTCGGGGTCTGCACCGGTTTGGTAGAGGTGGCGGTGGATCGGATTCTGGACAAAGATTGACGGTCAAGCCAAAAGGCTCTGCTGACAGAAGGAAAGAGCTGGGAGTGGGAGGCGGGTGGAAGATGCAGAATTGGACTCCCAAGGCCACCGTCGGGGTCGCCAGCTAAGATGCAGGCGGACTTTCATCTTGTGAGATTATCAGCATTTTGCACACACACGCACACGCCCCACCGCCTGCATGGTTTCGTCTCTTTTCTCGGTTTTGAGTTGATTTCTTAAACCGTCCTTGCCCCTCCTCCCACCCCACCACACCAAGTGAGGTGCACTTAGCACTGGCTCTTCGCTGTAACTGTAACCTGCCCAGGAGACTGTCAGTTCCTCGAGGGCAGGGATGGTTGCCAGGTTGGTTCAAGGCTGTATTCCAGCACCTAGACTGGTGCCTGAGACACAGCATCTGAGGAATGGATAAATGGAAGGTCAGACCCCAGGAGAGGGCAGGGACCAGGTAGGGAGAAGAAAAAGAGAAGCGCCCCCCACCCCGCCCTTGTTGCTGAGTGAACAGGTTGCAGGTGGGTACAAAGCTAAAGACGGGTGGTGACTTGGAGGCCTGGGCTGTGTCCCCCACACAGTCGACAGGCAGCCCCGCGTGGCGCTGCAGTACCAGAAAGACAGTGAATCCTCGAGGAGCCAGGCTCTGTTGGGCACCAGCATTTCCGTGCTTCTGGCTGTCATTGTCTTCGTGGTGATCATGGTCTCGTGAGTCATCCTTGCCCTCCTAAGTCCCCCAAGTGCCCCACTGGGCCCCTCAAAAATGGTACCTCCCTGGATGGGTTACTGTGCACTTTGGGAGTTTCCTCCCCAGTCACTTAATCTCTGTCTCTCTCTCTCTCATTTTCATCTCTGAGTCTCATCTCCTTTCCCCAGACCTGGGCCACATTATGTCTTACCTGGATCCTCATCACTTTTGCCTCTCCCTCCATGAAAAAGTACTAAAAATCATATTGTGTAAATATGTCGGTATAAAGACAAATATCATTCAAGTTGGTTTCATTAGTATATATTCATCACCATCATTAATATTATTGTTATATTCATTTATTTTCCTCTGACTTTCAAAGAAGTTAAAACAAAAACATTCCCATAGGCCCCAGGTGTTGTGCCTGAGAGGCATGTGGCCCTCACCCACCTCTCTGCACCTCTGAGGGTTTATCCCTGCCCCGTCCCCCCTTGGGCCCTCTCTAACCTTCTCCAGCTCCTCTCCTGTTGTGGGGCGAACGCACAGAGCAATTCAAGACCGGCGTCAGCGATGTAGCTTTATAGCTCTTTATTTTAGTGTTGCAGCTCGTTGTTCAGTGTTACAGCGCTTTGTTGCTTGCAAGCAAGGAGGGCACTGGAGGGCAGAAAACTCCCAAGCCAGTGCCTCCCAGAACAAAAGAAACGACCCCTTATAAAGCCTAAATTCCCCCCCTTCTTTCTCCTATGTTCTCATTCAGGTCCTCTTACGTAGTCAAAACAAAAAACTTAATTTTAGAATTTTGTTTTGGGAAGCTTGTCAACCAAAGGTTTGAAATATTCAATTAGATAGGATCACAAATTATTATTATAAAAATAAAACCAAAGTGACAAAGGATTACAAAGGCAGAGAGCACAAGAAATTATCATGATAAAACATGAAATAAGTTTCCCAGGCCAGTTACCTAAAAGATAAAGAAACATTTTACAATTTTCTATTAGGAGCAGTTAAGTGCTTTAAGGAAATTTGGTTGTTCCAATGCAGGAGAGCAAACTTTAACCCTGCATTACAATACTTTTGACATTAATGTTTAATTTTTGGAAAAACTTACACATAATTTGCTTTTAATTTTATCCAATTTTAAAAGTTTCTTCTATAAATTTAACCCGTACAAACCATTATTATGACTTACTCGGACTTTCTGTTTTTGTCCTATATTTTTACCTTTTTAAACAGCCAGCCATTTTACTCTAGAACAAAAATACACTGTACAAGATGCTTTCTTACATATTTTTTCCTTATTAGCCTTCTTAACCATAACTACATGTTTATGTTTATAGCTTTTTTATAGCACCTTCGTTTTTACATACTTGTTATTATTTTTTTATCAACATTAAATTGGCCTCATTTGCCTAAAAATTATACATAGAGAAAGGTTTTTCTGGTTTTCACTGGGTTTTTAATTAAAAGCCTCTAGCAAAAACAAATATAATCTTGTTTGATCAGTAAACCCAGGCAAAGATGTACACTGATAAAAACATTTTTATATATTCAGGCTAGTAAATGCGGGTCCATTTGTTAGAGCAGATTATACAAAGCCCAGTTTGAGTCTCAGCTATTTCTACCAAATAAGTATTTATGGTTTTTCCAGCCAAAAACTTGGTTTATTAAGTAGTTCCAAAGGGCTCTCACAAAGGTTAAAGTTATGAGGCAGCAATCTTGAGTTTCCATGAATTATAGAAAATACCTTCTATTATCTGTTATTAATATTACAGGAAAATTTTAAGAAAGAAGCCAAATTTTACTTTTTGTACCAGTGCACTGTTAATATTACAGCTAATTTTAATAAAAACTTATAAACAAATCTAATCTCAGTGAATTTTGATCAAACAAGATTTTTTTTTTTTTCCTTTTTGTCTTTTTTTCGTGACCGGCAACGAATCGCAACCCTCCGTGTCGCGCCCGTACCGGACCAGGACCGGCAA